TCTGCCGTTACCACTGCAGCCACGGCCACCCAATGGGCCACACCCACCCAGCACTCGACGATGCATAAATGGGTGTTGGGTTGCAGTTTGGGCACTCAGTCTCTAAAAGGTTCGCCATCATTGATATAGATGATCACGCAGCACCTCGTGAATTAGCTGCATGAACACCACTGGCGCTTCCTGCAGTCCAAAAGGCATCACCTGAACTGGTAGCATCCCAAGGGGCAATTAAAAGCAGTCTTCCATTTATCTTACTTCCTGATCCTCACATGATAATACGTCTCTCTTAAATCCAACTTGTTGAACACCTTGGACAGGTGCCCCAGCATGTCTTTCATGAGGGGAAGGGGGTACATGTTTTCCACGCATACACCATTAATCCCCCTAAAATCCATGCACAACTTCAGCAATCCATCTTTTTTTTCCCTTAAAGAGCACTGGTGCCGCCATTTTATATTTAGCTGGCTGGATGAAGCCCCTGGTTAAGTTCTTGTCCACAAAGGCTCGGAATTCCACCGTCTTCCCCGAGGTCATAGAGTACATTTTTGGTTTAGGGAGTTTTGCCCCGGTAGCAACTGAATAGCACAGTCTGGGGGGTGGTGAGGAAGGAGCGCATCCAACTTCCGCTCGCTAAAGACTTCTGCCAGGTCCCCATACTTCTTTGGAGTATGTGGCTCTGTTGGGCTGCTCTCAGCAAACCTGTTGATTTTCTCTGCTTTCACTTTTATAGCCTATTATGCTCACCTAACTTTTGGCGGCTTTTCCACCACCAGGCCTTTCTCCTCTTTAATCCTCAGCCGCCACTTGTTGCTTTCCCAGTCAACTGAAGGGTAGCAAAATCCTTTCTGAGGTGTGGATGGACAACAAGAATTTGGAGGCCCTGAGGACCCCAAGGAAATTGTCCCCCAAGCACGTCCAGTGGGCTCAAAACTTCAACCGATTTAACTTTATCTTTCAGTATCTGCCAGAGGGAAAAATCTTCCTGGCAGATGCGCTTTTATGCCTACCACAATACAAGAGTTCCAGGTAGGAATTAGTTAACTCGATCATTCCCTCGGGGCAGCTAGCAGCGCAAGGCTCTACAAAACCAAATCTGTCAGCTCTCCCTCATCCAGCTGATAATGAGATCACTCAAAAGCTGAGGGAAGTCCTGGAGGTATATAGGATTGCTTTAACTTTGGCTTTAGCACTCTCAGTGTTTTATATTCAAAAGTACTGTCTCTCATCAGAAAATTGAGAATGAAGAACGGAGCACCCACTGAAACCATAAAAATCAGGGAAAGGAATGTGCGAGCATTTGTATAATGGGGGAATGCCTTCTTGACTCTCTGTTTCTCTCTTTTTCAGGTCAGTCTCAGCAACATGTTGATGTTTAGGAAAAACAGGAGGAAATGGAGGCCTCTGAAAGGGGGGAGGATAACCATTTCCATCACCCAGGTTGGATGGGAAAGATAATACAACTGGAACCGGGATGAAATACGGCATCCCTCTTTCTTGTTTCTTCTTCTACATAAAAACTCCTGCCCCATCCCCTCCATTCCTCCCTCCTGACTTTACATCTGATCCTTTTTTTGTGTGTTTGCTTCCAAACAGCCTGAGAGGTAAGCTTGCTGGGAAAGGACTGTCCCAGTGTTGTACAACAGTTTATTTTTTTTCCTCCCCCCTGTTGCAAATCTTCTCTTAAACCTTTGTCTACAACTGGGGGGGGGGAGAGATCACCAGCAACTTATAGAAGGGTCTAAATTTAAGGGTCTGAAAAGTAAATTATATATGTATTTATTATTTTAAATCCTTAGACATTATAAATCCTTCAGCAATATTATCACTGAATCAGGGGAAGGAGTGAGGATGGTAAAATCATACGATATGGTAGTGTCCCTCTAAATGAACAGGATTAGGGACTAGCTGCCTGGCACCTCTGCTGCCTGCTAGATGAAAACCCATTCTTGGCAACTGCATGTTTCTCATCAGAATGGAAAATAAAAAGTCAAAATGTATCCAAGACACAGTGCAATATGCACTTGGCAGGGCAGGGCAGTCCTAATTATGAGCTCCACCCTACCATATTCCATTTCCCTGAATATGCCTAGTCAAGTTATTTTTGTATGCTTGGAATTATTCCCACATAAATGTACTTAGGCATGCATTTGTTTTTTCGGATTACCTTCCTGAGCTTTGGTGAAGAAGCCTTGCTGAAATCCATGGGGCTGACTTTCTTTGGAGTAAAAGTGCAATAGGCTGGGCTCTGGAACGATTTCCTCCATCAACATTCCCCACACATGGCAGGCAAAACCCGCAAGCCGTAAATGTTACCAAGTTGTTCCACTGAACTCTTATAGTGTTTAGTGCCCTTGAATGAGGAAGTTCCGTTCAGAAAAGGCAGACTATGGCTGGATCATGCCTGCCACATTCAAGTCTAAATTCTCAGGAGTTTCACTGCACTTCAGGGTACCTGACGGCATGGCAAGGAGGAAGAAGCTTCTGGCATCTTATTAAGAGCTGCCTACTTGGTGAATAAGGCCCAGATTAAGCCTGCATTATCCTCCTGGCAAATGTTCGCCTTCCAGCAATGCTGGAAAACAAGAGGCAGGCTGCTGGAGCAGGAGCAAAGCCACAGTACGCTGGGCTTGGCTGGGCTTGGAGAAAGTGGAAGATGTCCAGTTGTGGGATTCAGCCAGTTCGCACCACTTCGGCAGAACCGGTAGCTAATTTTTGTTGCCCAGGCCCAGAATGGACTTCCGGAAGCGGCATCCACACAGAGAACTGGTTGTTCACATATTTGAATCCCACCACTGAAGATGTCCTATACCAGCTCTTCCTCTGGGGGTGAGACAATTTCTCTGCTGTTGCCTATTAGGCATGATAGATTGATGCTATAAATCTTTAAACCCAACAGGAGCAAGGCCAGGGTTTTTTTCCCGTATGATCCTCACTGTCACCCAGTCTTTCTCAGATTCCTGCTGACTTCTCCCTCCCCCCCCTCCCGCAGAAGCATGTTTCTCAGGCTTACTTTGTAGGGAGAAGCTGCAGACAATGGACCAGCTGTTTCATGGAGCTCTCTGGCTGATATCCCAAACAGTCATCCTAGAATGGTAGCCGCAGGGCCACAATCTGGACATGGATGGAGGCTTGTTGTGGCATGCAGTCTGTGTTCGCCAGGCTGTGCTTCCCATCTTGGGAGGCAAGAAGGCATCTGCCAGGGCAGGCCAGACCTAATTATCAGCTCCGCTGCTCCACTGTGCCTTGGGCCCAGAACGGGACAATGTTTCTTCTGGTGGGGGAAAGTGCCTCTACTTTCCCCACTTGATCCAAATTGTCTCATAATGGTGATTCTCCTCACCACGAATTGTCCCCATCCCTGCATCCCTTTGGCCGACACATTAGAGGTTGTAGGCTGGGGTCACTTGTTCCATGCCAAAGCAGCCATGCCCACCCAGTTGTGCCTATCCATTTGTGCCAATCTAGCTGCACTGAGTCATCCTTGCCAATTTATCCATGCTGACTTGGCCACGCCCAGCCAGCCATGTCCACCTGGCCATAGTGAGTCATCCCATTCCAATTTTTTAAATTGATTACTTTTGGGGATTCCTCAATATTATTTCAACATATCAAATGTGCATAATTGATACATGTGAAATCACAGTTCAATTAAATTCAAATTTAGAAATTCAATTCCTTACTAAACTTTCTGGAAGTAAATATTTGTTTCTGTTGATTGATAGTGAACAAAGTAGTTCAATACAGTACATTGAATTTAATGTAGAAATCCCTTGTTCCTTAATCTCGAGTGGGAACCTTATGCAGGTTATATGTGTGTCCGATTATTGCATATGCATCAAATAAAAAGGAATTTTAAAGTACTTATAAGGTTAATCTGATAAATAAATTAAAAATGTTGGGTAGATGGCCAGATGTTTATCACCAATTTATATACAGTATATAGAGACAAACTTTTTATGAGTTGAATATCACAGAAAATTCTGTATTAAAATACTGATCAAATGATGAAAATCTGAGCAGCAGCATGTCAAATTGCTTGCAGAAAAATAAACAAAAAGATTGTTATAACCATCAAAGATGGAAACAAGCTATAGACCAGGGCTTTTCAACCTTTTCACCCATTGTACCACTTTTAGGATATGGCAACATCCGAGTACCACCAGTTGCCTAGCAAGGTGTCAAAAATTTGATGATCAAAAAAGAAAAAAAAAAAAAAAGGAAAAAAGTGATAAAGTACAGGTAATCCTCGACTTACAACAGTTCGCTTAGTGACTGTTCAAAGTTACAATGGCACTGAAAACAGTGCCCCCCCCAAGCCACAGCCTGCCCGCCAGTGGCGCTCTTCCTCCTGTCAGAGTTTTTTTTATCATTGTGAGCATTTCTGTTGAGGATTGGCCATGGGGGTGGGGTGGGGGGTGTTTGGTTTTTATTCCCACCGTCTGCTGGGTGGTTGCAGCAGGTTTTGGTCACTTCACATGACCCTGGGACACTGTGACCATCATAAATATGAATCAGTTGTCAAACATCTGAATGTAAATCACAAGACCCTGGAGATGCTGCAACATTCCAGCTGATCGGTGCTTCTTCTGGGCTCAGCAGAAGTGCCAGGATCAGTGCTGCTTTCCAGCTGATTGGTGCTTCTTCAGGGCTCAGTAAAAGCACCAGGATCAGTGCTGAGCTCCAGCTGGAGCCTGGCGCTGATCCTGGTGCTTCCATTAAGCCCTGACAGCCCCGAAGCGCCGAACAGCTGGAAAGCGGCACTGATCCTGGTGCTTCCGCTCAGCCCTGCAGCTGCAGCCATCTCTCGCTCAGGCTTGTGCGGTGCTGCCACCGGTTCAGCTCATTCCCCTCCCCCGCTACCACTTTTCTAGGATGGTCGCGTACCATCTACCAGGTGCCAATGTACCACAGGTGGTACCCGTACCACTGGTTGAAAAGCTCTGCTATAGACTTCTAAAAGTTCTATTTTTAAAAAAAGAAATTACTCAAACTTTTAGTAAATCTAACATTTATTTGATGGAGATATAGTCATTTTTAAGCTAAAATTACCTTTCCAATGACAATTCACTATGGAAGAGATAAAAAAGTGGTATGGAGTATGAGTAATGAAAAAGCATCAAGTCTGGATGGATTTCCTGTAGAACGGCATAACAGATATACTTTGTAAGTTTTATCAACTACATAGTTGACATTTCTGAAAATGGTATTTTATCATCTTAATTTAATGAAGTATATATTACAGTTATACCAAAACTTGGTAAGGTTGTGTGCTCTCATCCCTATTTCATTTATTAATGTGGAAATTAAATTAAAACCTTTAAGCTTTATTTCTTCTATACAGGTAGCAAGTATTATAAATTATTAGTTTTTCACATTCCATTTTAAAATGAAGTTTTATGTGTATAAATCTGCTGTTTCTTAAAGAGGGTTGTAGAAAGAATCCCATGTACTATGTGACAAAATGAATGAATGTGATGAAAATGAAACAAGTGAGATTTAGACATTTTAGGTTAACGGGTCCCATTATCAAATTGTCTCTGAAACTAATTTATTCATTAAATATTCATTTACTGCCAGTTTAATCCAGCTAAGCCCCAAACCTTCATTCCTAGTATTGGGTCAATATAATTTAGAGATGTTTATAAAAACCATTAAGTCTCATCCTTTCTTACTGAGCATCACCGAATAATCTTTAGGAGTGTGCGCATGACATCATGCAGGAGGAAAGAAGGAAGATATTCATTGTGTGAAAAGAACACATTTACTTGGAAAACTCATGATGTTGAATTTAATGGGGCATCTTTTCCAAGGATTATACATTGGTAGACATTCACTGATATTTGCTAATGAATGTCTGCATCAAATAAACAGTTATTAAATGCAAGGCTACAAAATGCACAACTTCAGTGAACTTCAGTGAGTTTGAAAACTCTGATTTCTGTGAGGCAATAGATTTAGATTTACAACAGATGTCTAAGATAATAGCTAATTTATGAATCTAAGGAAACACAAGTTAATGTAAGTTTCCAATATAGTATGCAGGTCACAATTGTGGCATATGTTAGGTGCAGGAAATAAAAGTAAATAGGTTTCTATTTAAGACTACAAAATAGTTCTAACTGGTAAACATTGTTTTTAATGTTGATCTGCCTTCAGAAAAAAAAGAGCATACTTCAATGCATATTAAAAAGCTACTGCTGGCACAGTACTGGCTCAAATAAAAGTTTTTTTTGTTTCCATAACAGCTATAATAGATTTTATAAAAATATTTTTACAACAGATGGTTTTAACACCCACAAGACTTCATACATGTACATACATATGTATGAAAAATGTTAGTATGTGATAAAAGAACAATATAATAATTAGGAAATTAATTCCTCTTCTCAGGCACTTACAATATTGTTCCTTTTGCTCTCCAGTCTTGAGACAGCAAGTCCTGCAATTCACCTTCATCATTACTTCCAATATCATCCTCTTCTTTAGTCTGTGTGACTCTTCGAGTCATGGCTTCCTTTAATTTATCTTTCCTTATTTCCTGGCGGTCACGCAGTTGTTCAACCCGACGGAAACATTCTCTAAGATAAAATAAAATAAACAGTTTGCCCTCTTTTTCTGATTAAGTGAAAGTCTAAAAACATAAACCTTATACATTCATGCAATGCAACTTCATGTAAAGAGCATTTTGTTAAAACCCTGATATAGTTACAATGGACCCAGTTAATAACTATATTTTCTGGCTTAGATTTGGAAACCTGTAACTACATTTTCATTACAGAACTACAGATTGGCTAAGGAACATTAGCTTTTTTCATAGCAGGTAAAAAGCATCAATCTGGCACAAGCATGCTGAAAATGTAAAAAAAAACCAACAACCAACCACCTTTATTCTACTTGTTCTGTTTCCAAAATATAATTTTTCAGATAATTAGTTGTCCAGCAGCTGCATAGTCACAGGGTAAGAAGCATTCATGCAGTCTGTGACTGCTTTCTCTCTCTTCTAATTTGAATAAAAGACAGGAAATCCTATAATTCCTTTAATTATTTTAAAAACAATTAAAATTAGTTCAGAATTTTCTCTTGAACTCTAGCCAAAAAACCTAAATACATTATTACAATATGTTGCTCACTATTTCTATGTGATCTACCTGAATTTCTTTCCAATTGTAGTAGAAGATACCTGATTAATAGCTGGTGATAAATAGATTTCAATATCTGGCTTTAAGTCTTAAGTCAACCCAATATGGAATGTAAAAGAAAAGGGCCAGGCAATAGGGGATTTGGCCATATTGATCAAGGAAGCACTCAAAATGAATAGGGCATAAAATAATTGTAGGTGCCTCTTCACCATTTTTCTTAGCTGTTATATTCCAGTTTAAGGCCTCTGTAACTGTGATGTTAAATGTTTATATATCTCCACAAATGTCTATGTATTATTTCCCTGATATATGGGACAATTTAGAGCAAACCTTGATAGTTAAATTTAGAACCAATATGCATGTCTAAAGTTAAAAGCAAAGATGTAAACATTCTGCTTTATGCATATGACATGGTACCGATGTCATATACCCAGATAGAATTAAACGTCTGCTGCACAGGTTTAGTTCACATTGTGAACTCAATTACTGAACATCAATAAGTCCAAAATCAAAGAAGTTGAGAAAAGGTGGACTATGTATAATTGAAGACTGGATAGGGAACATATAAATTAGTTAAGTCCTATCTATACTTAAAATTTGTTTTTACAGAAACAGATTCCTGGTTCCCATGTTTTAAAAAGAGTACTTTAAAGACTTTAGTCAGTGTCAATACTATAAAGAAGCTCATCAACCATAGCATATATTTCTGAAATGTATCTTGGAGGTGGATAGGTCTACATCAGACCCAGCCGTAAGGGCAGAGTTGGGCATACTAGTAAAGTATTTAATTACTGGCTGCAGATCCTATCCATACCCTCAGACAGACTACCGAAATTAAGCTTCAAAGACCAATTACACAACAAGAAACCTTGTGGTTGGCTCACCCAACTTTCAAATGTCATCTCACAATATGGACTCTCTATCCCATTCCCAATCCAATCATATCTAAAAGCCAAGGTAGCTTTCAAATGAAGTTATTGATGTTGCTGCCCAAGACGATAATTGCCACACTTAAATGTTAAGTCTTTGAAATGGCTAGTTTAACACAAATCAGCCTCCCAGTTAGAAAAATATTTAACAAATTATATGCCTCCATATCTCTGAAGTTTTTTTTTAACAACTAGACTAAATGGTAACATATGGGAGATTTCATGGAGTTTCATTTAAAGGAAGAATTGTGTATTTGTATGGTACTAGTCCTTGAAGACATCCATCTTGACTGCAAACTGCACACTGTAGAATGGGCTGTTATTTAGATTCTTATTTAAAAATTGAAAATACCAGAGCATTGGGTTTTTTTCAGGGAACAAGCCTGCATATTATTAATTAGACTGGATTCTATATCAAAGGCCATTTTCAAAGAGCTTGAAACCTCAGATGAAGATTAACTGTAGGGTTAATGACTTAGAACAGTGTTTCTCAACCTTGACAATTTTAAGGCATGTGGACTTCAACTCTCAGAATTCCACAGCCAGCATTGCTGGCTGTGGAATTCTGGGAGTTGAAGTCCACATGCCTTAAAATTGTCAAGGTTGAGAAACACTGACTTAGAATGAAAACAATAGGGCATGTTTTTAGTAGCTAATTGTATATGTTTTATATATGATCAAATGATAAATCAATAAAGTTTCTATTCTATTTCTATTTTATTTCTCACTGCTAGCAACTATGGAACAACTTTCTACCCAAAGCCCAGATAGTTCAATCATTCTTGATCTTTAGAAAAATCTTTAAATATTGTTCAGAAAAAACCATAAATAAGGTATTTTATCTTGTTATTATTAATGTAATTCCAATAATTTGTGAAAAGTTTTGAGAGCGCTAAAATTATTATTTATATACTACTATTATAATTAATTTAGTTTATATTCCACATTCTCATGAGTCTAGCATGGAATATAAAACAAAAAAGCTACCAGAATCTTTCTCCTCAAAATATAAGATATACGTCAATACTATAAAGAAGCTCATCAACCATAGCATATATTTCTGAAATGTATCTTGGAGGTGGATAGGTCCAAGATACATTTAAATGGTTTTTGAGAAACACTGTTCATAAATAGCATTTGAAGACAAAATTTGAGCTACGTACATCTGTTCATCAATTTCTCCAATTTGACGGTCAAGTCGCCCTTCTTCATCTTCTTCAGCCACTATAGCTTCTGAAATCTAACTCAGAAATTTAAAAAAATATATAGCAGTTTTAGGCTCAATTTTCTGGGGGTATTTTTTTGACTTTCATGGAACATGGAGAAATACAACAATGTAAAGTTTCCTTTCTTTTTACTGTAATTAAAACTCTGGAATTGCCAGTCCATATACATTTTCCCTGGCAGCATACCTTCCCTAAGCCTTAACTCTTAAAAGAGATATGGCAAAAAGAAAAAAGGGACTGCACCCTCCTTCTCCCCTAAAAAGAGAAGAGCAATGTCCCAAGTACCAGTGGGAAAATACTTTAAAAAGTCAATATGTTTCAGAATTTCCTTTGACCAGGCATATAAAAGAAAGAGATAAAAACAATTTATCAATTGAAAACCATTTGTGTAACATGTATATTATTATTAAGCTCAAAGGATTGGTCTAATTTAGCATCTTCATAAAGGAATGACTTAGAGCCATCAGAAAAGAAAATCACATATGCTGGATATTGTATATGGGACAACCCATCCAATTCCCGCCTTGTCATGGGCTGTGGTGGCGCAGTGGTTAGAATGCAGTACTGCAGGCTGCTTCTGCCGACTGCTGACTGCCTGCAGTTTGGAAGTTCGATTCTCGCCGGCTCAAGGTTGACTCAGCCTTTCATTCTTCTGAGGTCGGTAAAATAAAGACCCAGATACTGTAAGCAATATCTAAGTACTATTGCTCTTGTCCACTCGTCTACCATGTAAATGGCATTGAGACTGGCAGATAAGATCACTTCTGCCAAGTTTCATTTCTGTATATGCATTAATTTCAAAACAGGGAACAATAACTTACTGTATTGATTTGTCTCATAGCTTTCTGGAATTCCTCCCATTCTTTGTCCATCTGATCCTTTGGAGTGTCAACCTTGCGCACCTAGAACATACATACACATACAAAGCAAAATTAAAACTGGACAAGCATTATTATCCTTGCCACATACTTTTTTCAGTGGTAGACTGCCCTTAAATGTGGAGTCTCCTTACCTCAATTTTGCCCAATAATTATTATCATAACTGTTTTTCTCCACAAATTAAGTTTCACTGGGAATACTTTTTTTCCACTTCCTTGGCAGATTTATTAATTTTTTTGCATGCAGGAAGTCCAAAGGTCAATTCTACAATTTGCTGTATGGCCAGCAAATGATGGGAGAGGTAGGAATGAGCACCAGAGAAAGATTTATTTCCAGAAAAGACTCCCGCACCAACCGGTTTTTAATAGGTACCCAACATGCAAAAATTTAATAGGCAGAATATAGAACAATTGAAAGGGCAAATAATGCTGACAATTTGATTACAACTGAAGATACACACTCAATACACACACACCCCCCCACTGTACTATATATCATGTATACACATACACAAACATGCACATTGTACTATATATCGTGTACACAAGCACACACCTTATTTTTCCTTATTTTCCTAATTCTTATCAACAATTAAAGAACTTAGATCAGACATGTCAAACACAAGGCCCGGGGGCCGGATGCGGCCCGCGAAGTGATTTCATGTGGCCCATGAAGCCATCCTGTAAACAGTGAGGGAACGGCCCCCGCTGCCTTGGCCCTGGCCCAGGCCGGTCAGGAGCCAATGTACAATTTTGTGGTGGCCATCTATGCTGAAACGCATTCAGTCTTAGCTCCACAAGGCTGTCTAGAAACAGTGAGGAACCAGCCCCTGCCGCATCAGCCCCGCACCCTGGGTGCATGCTGGGGAGGTGTCACTCTTTGTGAGGAATGAAGAAATGGACCATGCCTTGGTGCTTGCCCCGGTCCCACCCCCTTCTGCCAGAGACCCTCAGATCTGTCCCACTCCTGCCCAGGCCCAGGCACCCTTGATGTGAACGATGTAGAGCTGGCCATGCCCACCCAGTAAGCCATACCCACTCAATCCACGCCCACCAGTAGGCCACACCCACCTTGGCCACACTCACCCGCCCCCCCGAGGGAAACCGCAATGCTGATGCGGCCCTCAATGAAATTGAGTTTGACACCCCTGACTTAGATTGTTTCAAATCTATCACATTACAGGCAAAGGAGAGTGTTGGAATATTCATGAGCAGGAAGAGTCATGTGGTAACTCAGTCAGCCAATGTGAAGAAAGTGCTACTGAGTCTGTGCAAAAGGTATTGAGTTAGGAGCTGGATTCTTCCAGTCTCAGGTCTGTCTCTGCTGTAAGAAGTCTTCATTATGCTATGTTGCTGTAAAGAAGAATGTATGGTATTGTAAATAATTTGATATGAATATTAAGAGTTTATTTGAATCAGCTAAATGCAGTCAACTGTGAGAGCTTCTGATTTATTTTCACCAATAGAGAAAATTAAAATTCTCTAACAGGTTATGGGCCCAGAGCTTACTAAGGACTGCATTGTAATTTAAAGCTGGAAGAAATTGCCTGTGTTTACAAAAGTATAAGAACAAGGCAGAATTAGCAGAATGGCTGCAATGGAATTTAAGGAAAGCTCTGTGCCTCGTTTAGGCCAAAAGAATTACATTATATGGGCTGCGAAGATGGGATGTTTGCTGAAAGCAAAAGAGCTGTGGTATATTGTAGAAAATCCCCCACAAGTGTTTGCAGCTGCTAATCAGAAAAACCATGATCAAGCCATGGCTTATCTCATCTTGAATTTAGATGATGAACAGTTTCTAAATGTTGCAAATCTAAAGACTGCAAAGGAAATTTGGCTGAAGTTGAGAGCTGTGCACGTGAATGTTTCTGCATGCAATATAGTGCAATTGTCAAGAAAACTTTACAGAGCCTATTTGCAACCAGGTGAATCTGTGGAACAGCATTTAAATAAAATGCAAAGTTTATTTTTGGACTTAGAACAACGTGGGATTAAATTTCCTGAGTGACAGAAGGTTTTATTGGTGTTGAACAGTTTAGATAAAACCTGGGACACAGTTTCTGCAATATTTGAGTGCAAAGAAGAACAGGACTTAAATTTTGAGGCTTTAAAGGCATGTTTGCTTAATGAAAAAGAAAAGTACAATTTCAGGAGTAGCCATGAGGAGAAATTCCTGAGGAGGGGGTCCAGACTGCAAGTCTCCGGAGCAGGAGCAAGCAGCAGATGGGACCAAGTTGCAACAAAAGAGAGATTTTGCAGACAGAGAGTTTTGCAAGAAAAGAATTGCTACATTTGTGGAGCGAACACACATCTGAAAAGGAACTGTTTGCAGAGGAACAATTTGCAGAACAGGACCTTTGTGCATGCAAAGAAGACTAATTTGCAAAAGGAACATTTTGGTATTGCAAAAGTTTGCTATAGCAACAACAGAGACAAGTGGCTAATAGATAGTGGGGCAAGTCAAACAATTGTTAATGACTCTGAATTATTTTGCAGGTTTGTTCCAGTAGCACAAGAAACTGTGGCTTTGGCAAATGGCCAGAAAGCAAGTCATTGGAAGAGGCGATGTAAAAATTCCATATTTGGAATCAAAGTTTACCAATGTGCTTTGTGTACCTGAGATGGAACATAATTTGTTAAGTGTGTCTAATTTAGACAAACAAGGTTTTGAGATCATTTTTGTAAATGGAAAGTGTCTCATCAAAAGGAATGGGAATATTTGTGCAGAAGGCATAAAGGAAGATAATCTATATGTATTGCAGGGACAAAAGGTTCAATGTTCCCATATATTTAAGAATGTTGCAGAGCATGATTCATGCATTCATCTTCTACATAGAAGACTTGGTCATGTAAGCTTTAAAGTTTTGCAGCAAATGCAAGAGTTTGCAGAAGGGCTAAATTTGAAGGGATGCAAAACATATTTGGACTGTGCAGTATGCAAAGCATCGAAATCAAAGGCATTCCCAGTTAGTAAATATAGCACAAGACAAACAAAAAGAGCTCTAGAGCTGGTCCATGCAGATCTGATGGGATCTATGCAAGCCAGTTTGGGAGGAGCAAAATATGCACTGGTAATTGTTGATGATTTTAGCAGGTACAGTTTTTGCTACTTGCTTAGAGATAAGACAGAGGTGCTACAACAATTCAAACAGTGGGTAAGTTTTATAGAGAGAAGGTACAGACAACAAGTGTGTCAGTTGCAAACTGACAGAGGTACTGAATTTATGTCAACTAAATTCCAACAATGGTTGGGACAGTTGGGGATAAAACACAGACGTACAAATCCTTACTCAGCAGCAGAGAACGGTGTAGCTGAAAGAAGGAATGGTGTTTTGCAAACAATGAAAGATTCATTGTTAGAGGATTCTGGTATGAGCAGGTCATATTGGGGAGAAGCCATATTGACTGCCAATTATATAGTTAACAGGCTGTGGAGTTCCTCCATTAATAATACTCCATATGCCATTNGGTACATATTCCGAAAGCAATCAGAAGAAAGGGACAGCAAAAGGCAAGAAAGCTCAGGTTTGTGGGCTATGAGCCAGGGTCAAAAGGATATCGCTTTAGCGATGGAAGTAAAAGAATTGTAATTTCAAGGTCTGCTAATTTTGCAGAACAAAATTGGGACAGAATTAATGCAAATTCTGGGTATGTCTCACTTAATGACAGTGATCTCTTTAGTGACAACTCATCTAATGATGGAAAAATGATTATTTAAGATGTCAATGTTCAGGGAGGAGAGGCTGAACAAGACATGAAGCCAGAAAGACTTGAGACACAGGAGCAGTTATTACCACGTAGGTCAGAGCGATGTAACAAAGGAATTCTGCCTGACAGGTATTCTGCCAGCAAGGTAAAGGTTTGCAATGTGTGGTATGAGCCAAGAAGTTATAAAGAGGTGTTGGCATTACCAAAAGCTGAACAAGAAAAATGGAAGGAGGCCATGGATAAAGAGATGAAATCCATGGGAGACCATGAAGTATTTAAATCAGTGACTTTGCCACAGGGAACCAAAGCTGTGGGTTGTAAGGGGTATATAAGAAAAAGGTATTGCCAAATAATGATGTACAGTTGCAAGATTTAAATATTAATGTAAAAGAATCTGTAAAGGTATTTGAAGACAATGCTGCCTGTATAAAAATGGCAACTGGTGATAGGGTGAAGAACAGAAGTAAACATGTAGACATTAAGTATTGTAATGTCAGGGAAGCTGTAAAAGGAAAATTGATTAGTTTACATCATTGTTCATCTGAGGATAATTTGGCAGACATGATGACTAAACCATTGGGTGGTATTCACTATGGAAAATGTATTAAGTCAATAGGTCTGATGTCTCTTCCTGTCATGAAGGGAGGAGTGTTGGAATATTCATGAGCAGGAAGAGTCATGTGGTAACTCAGTCAGCCAATGTGAAGAAAGTGCTATTGTGTCTGTGCAAAAGGTATTGAGTTAGGAGCTGGATTCTTCCAGTCTCAGGTCTGTCTCTGCTGTAAGAAGTCTTCATTATGCTATGTTGCTGTAAAGAAGAATGTATGGTATTGTAAATAATTTGATATGAATATAAAGAGTTTATTTGAATCAGCTAAATGCAGTCAACTGTGAGAGCGTCTGATTTATTTTCACCAATAGAGAAATTAAAATTCTCTAACAGAGAGTCTGCTTATTGAGCTCAATTCAATAATTCACAGCTACTGGGGATAATCTCACTCAAGATCATGTATAGCAAATCTGCTTGATGGCAAAGGAAAGTATGTTTAATAAGGGAAATATTAGAAGAAACAGCTAGAAGATGTTCAAAACGTTAACACAGAACCTAATCTCCAGCAGGTTTCTTGCTTGCTTACTTTAAATATCAAGCAATATAGATTACATGATTCATCAGCATTCTGGCATCACAAAAATTTGATGGGTCAATTCTGTCAAATACTTGGCTTTACCTTGTGTATTATTTTTGCCCTTATTTGCCCTTATTATGCATCCATTTAAAGTATTAGTAAATTGTATATTTGCAAGATCTGATTAAA